ACTATAGCCTGAAGAGCCCGGGTCGGAGTGAGCTTCCGACCAATTTGTGTAGCTTGCTGTTGACCCATAGAGTATGTGGGTCTCAGTTCCAAGTAGGTCTTGTAAGACTATAGCCTGAAGAGCCCGGGTCGGAGTGAGCTTCTGACCAATTTGTCTAGCTTGCTGTCGACCTTTGCAGCCTGAAAGACAGTTGCATCTGTCAAGTAGGAAATTTAGGTACCACTTATGCGTGGAGGCTAATTTAACTAATTTACAAGGCCATAAAAATCTCCAGCAAGCATGCAAAGAATGAGGAAGTACTTTATCAGTGTCACAAATGGTCGGTGAAGCGACAGCTCCCCTGGTGGCCAGAATACCCTCAAGAAAAGCTGGAATGTTAAATAGCCTCTGAGTGCCTGTCTATATATGTTGTGTGTCTATGGCACTGAATGTTTGCCATGTAAATGCACACTGTAATCCGCCCTGAGTCCCCTGCGGGATGAGAAGGGCGGAATATAAATACTGTAAACAAACAAACAAACAAACAAACAAATAATGTTCATCCCTCCCGAAGCTGTGCGCTCAGTGGAAGAGGACGACATCCCAGGTATAGAAGGGCGGAATATAAATACTGTAAATAAAATAAAGGAAGATTACTTTGGGATTGTGCATATTATCCTTTAGTCATTGTTGACTTATAGTGACCTCATGCATTTCATAGGGTTTTCTTTGGTAAACAGTACTAATAAGTGGGTTTGCCAGTCCTTTCTCCTGAAATATATTCCCCCTGGAATATAAATACTGTATATAAATAAATAAATGTTAATAGTGCCAGTGAAACAGCTTTCCTGTAATTTGAACCCATTGCTCCAAATCCTAGTCTCCAAGGCAGTAGAAAACAAGCCTGTTCCTTCATTCTTATGATATGCTTTCACTTATTTTATACATGGCAATCATGTCTTCTCTCACCCTTCTCTTCTGCAGGCTAAACAGACCCATCACTTTGAGCCTCTCCTCATAGACCATGATAAAAATTCTATTATTTTAAGTCATGAAAATTTTTCACCTTTGACATCCATTTTGGTGCTAACTTAGTTGCTATCTTGCTTAGTTACAAGCTCGCTTCAGTATATTTCATTAAAAATATTGGCCTAGGTGACTTGTAAATAGGAGACCCCTGGAATAAATACATCTGGCATCCACAAAAAGCATCCATACGAGGAAAAACATGATCTGGATTCGCCAAGCTGGCTAGGAAGGTGGTAATGACTTTATAAATGGAAGCCGTTTACAAAGAAATCTCCAGGAAGTATGCAAAGAATGAGGAAAGAACTTCAACAGTGTCACAAACAGATGGTGACGCAACAGCTCCCCTGGTGGCCAAAAGCTGGAATGTTAAATAGCCTCTGAGTGTCGGTTATGAGTTCGAAGGGAGCCCGGGTCGGAGTGAACTTCCAACCAATTTGTGTAGCTTGCCGGCGACCTTTGCAGCCCGTCAAGTAGGAAACTTAGGTACCGCTTATCCAGGGAGGCTAGTTTATGACACCATAAAAATCTCCAGCAAGCATGCAAAGAATGAGGAAGTATTTGATCAGTGTCACAAAAAGACGGTGAAGCAACAGCGCCCCTGGTGGCCAGAAGCTGGAATGGTAAATAGCCTCTGAGTGTCGGTCATGAGTTCGAAGCCAGCCCGGGTCGGAGTGAACTTCCAACCAATTTGTGTAGCTTGCTGGCGACCTTTGCAGCCCGAAAGACAGATGCATTTGTCAAGTAGGAAATTTAGGTACCGCTTATCCGGGGAGGGTGGTTTACGACACCATAAAAATCTCCAGCAAGCATGCAAAGAATGAGGAAGTACTTGATCAGTGTCACAAATGGATGGTGAAGCAACAGCTCACCTGGTGGCCAGAAACTGGAATGTTAGATAGCCTCTGACTGTCGGTCATGAGTTCGAAGCCAGCCCGGGTCGGAGTGAACTTCCAACCAATTTGTGTAGCTTGCTGGTGACCTTTGCAGCCCGAAAGACAGTTGCATCTGTCAAGTAGGAAATTTAGGTACTACTTATCTGGGGAGGCTAGTTTACGGCACCATAAAAATCTCCAGCAAGCATGCAAAGAATGAGGAAGTACTTGATCAGTGTCACAAATGGATGGTGAAGCAACAGCTCCCCTGGTGGCCAGAAGCTGGAATGTTAAATAGCCTCTGAGTATCGATTATGAGTTCRAAGCCAGCCTGGGTGGGAGTGAACTTCCAACCAATTTGTGTAGCTTGCAGCCCGAAAGACAGTTGCATTTGTCAAGTAGGAAATTTAGGTACCACTTATCCAGGGAGGCTACTTTACGACACCATAAAAATCTCCAGCAAGCATGCAAAGAATGAGGAAGTACTTGATCAGTGTCACAAATGGATGGTGAAGCAACAGCTCCCCTGGTGGCTAGAATACCCTTATGAAAAAAAAGCTGGAATGTTAAATAGCCTCTGTGTGTCTGTCTATATATGTTGTGTCTATGGCATTGAATGTTTTCCATGTATATGTACATTGTAATCCGCCCTGCGGGGTGAGAAGGGCAGAATATAAATACTGTAAATAAAATACTATAAATAAAATACTGTAAATAAACATCATTCACCCTGCTATCTTAAATGATAAACATCCCAAGATGATACATATAATCTCAGAAATATGTCCCATAGAGTTTGTGGGTCTCAGTTCCAAGTAGGCCTTGTAAGACTATAGCCTGAAGAGCCCGGGTCGGAGTGAGCTTCCGACCAATTTGTGTAGCTTGCTGTCGACCTTTGCAGCTTGAAAGATAGTTGCATCTGTCAAGTAGGAAATTCAAGGTACCGCTTATGCGGGGAGGCTAATTTAACTAATTTACAAGGCCATAAAAATCTCCAGCAAGCATGCAAAGAATGAGGAAGTACTTCATCAGTATCGCAAATGGTCAGTGAAGCAACAGCTCCCCTAGTGGCCAGAATACTCTCAAGAAAAGCTGGAATGTTAAATAATCTCTGAGTGTCTGTCTATATATGTTGTGTCTATGGCATTGTTGTGTCTATGGCTTTGTAATCCGCCCTGCGGGGTGAGAAGGGCGGAATATAAATACTGTAAATAAATATTGTAAATAAAATACTGTAAATAAACATAATTCATTCTGCTATTTTAAATGATAAACATCCCAAGATGATACATATAATATGTACATTGTAATCCGCCCTGCGGGGTGAGAAGGGCGGAATATAAATACTGTAAATAAAATACTGTAAATAAAATACTGTAAATAAACACCATTCACCCGGCTATCTTAAATGATAAACATCCCAAGATGATACACATAATCTCAGAAGTATGTCCCATAGAGTTTATGGGTCTCAGTTCCAAGTAGGCCTTGTAAGACTATAGCCTGAAGAGCCCGGGTCGGAGTGAGCTTCCGACCAATTTGTGTAGCTTGCTGTTGACCTTTGCAGCTTGAAAGATAGTTGCATCTGTCAAGTAGGAAATTTAAGGTACCGCTTATGCGGGGAGGCAAATTTAACTAATTTACAAGGCCATAAAAATCTCCAGCAAGCATGCAAAGAATGAGGAAGTACTTCATCAGTATCACAAATTGTCAGTGAAGCAACAGCTCCCCTAGTGGCCAAAATACTCTCAAGAAAAGCTGGAATGTTAAATAATCTCTGAGTGTCTGTCTATATATGTTGTGTGTCTATGGCATTGAATGCTTGCCAAGGATATGTACATTGTAATCCGCCCTGAGTCCCCTGCAGGGTGAGAAGGGAGGAATATAAATACTGTAAATAAACAAATAAACAAACAAATAAATAAATGTTAATAGTGCCAGTGAAACAGCTTTCTGTAATTTGAACCCATTGCTCCAAATCCTAGTCTCCAAGACAATAGAAAACAATTTGTATAGCTTGCTGTCGATCTCTGCAGCTTGAAAGATAGTTGCAACTGTCAAGTAGGAAATTCAAGGTACCGCTTATGCGGGGAGGCTAATTTAACTAATTTACAAGGCCATAAAAATCTCCAGCAAGCATGCAAAGAATGAGGAAGTACTTCATCAGTATCACAAATGGTCGGTGAAGCAGCAGCTCCCCTGGTGGCCTTATGATTCAACCACCTCCTATTTTCACTCCTGCCTCTTATATCTCATCAATGCTTCTCAACCATAGGGGTTTGTACATCATATTTGCAAAGACATATCGCACAAAAGTTTATGACAGATGGACAAACAAAGAAACAAACATGCATTTCTCCTTTCCTGCGAAAGGTAGTTTAAGAACCCTGTTTCCTTGTTCTCTCTTTATTGCTTAAAATCCCAACAACACCACCACCACCACCCCCCAATCCCAGCACAAAGTCTATTCTAAAATATTTGTTTTCTGCAGAGTTTGGAGCATTAGCAAACAGCAGATATCTACATAAAATCTATTTTAAGTTGTGTATCTTAGGTACTAAAATACAACATATGCATAATACATACATCATTGGGCATGCTCCTGTATTGTGAGGAGAGAGATGTAAACGCTGCACGATATCTAGTAGCTATATTCACATACTCAAACAGCTTCAAGACTTGGATTTTCATCTGCAAAAGATGGTTGTTTTCTAAGCAAGTACCATTTGAGCAGGAACTACATATGCTTGCATGTTTGCAGAGCACCAGCATGAGTTTGTGAAGAATAAATAACAGTCAATGGTGATTACAAATAAAATAATAATAGAACCCAGTGCAACCTTTGTCCATTGGTGCAGGAAAGCAGGAGAATGGAAGTTTTCATTAATGCCTATTGAATTATGGAAGGAATTTGCGGACTTGGGTGCAACTCTTTTAGACAGCCCTCTGATAAGTTGGACAATTCCTCCCATCCCTGACCTGCAAAGGGCAACGACGGCAAAGATGAATCTTGTGACCTGAAGGCTTTCGGAAGATTATTCCTAGCACCTGGAAAATCAAATATTTTCTCCAATAGCAAAACTGGCCACAATTAATCAGGTGATGATCTATTATTTTAACCTTCATAAAGGTTAAAATAACAGGAAGAAACAAGAGCTAGGACGTTAAAATCGTCACAAGTACATTTCGCAGGGACGAGAGACAGGGCCTTCTCAGTGGTGGCCCCTCGGCTGTGGAAAGCCCTTCTGTTATTTTAACCTTCATAAAGGTTAAAATAACAGATTCTCACCTGATAAATTGTGCGAGGACTTTAAGATCATCTGGAGAGGCCGTGCTCTTGGTCCCGCCATCATCACAAGTACGGTTGGCGGGAACGAGAGACAGGGCCTTCTCAGTGGTGGCCCCTTAGCTATGGAACGCCCTTCCTAGGGAGAATAGATTGGCTTCCTCGCTCCTAAGAATGTTAAGACATGGCTATTTGAGCGAGCATTTGAAAATACGGAGTAATGGGTATAATAACGGAATAACAATATGGCGCAAAGCCAGAAAGTTATTTTTGTTCTTTATGACATATAAATGCCGTAAATAAATAAATAAATAAATAAATAGTGTCTACTTGGTCTTTATGAAAGAAATTGGAAAAATCTTCTGAAATTACTGCCAAAGTTGCAAGCTTCTGTGCAGCAGCAATAGCTTGCTGGCAGAAGATGCTGTCAGAGTCTGAAAATGTTTTAATATTTCATCTTAGCTTTTATAGTTATTTAAACTCAGAAATATTTAATACTGCTTTAACTGTCACACGGGATTGTGGTGCAGCTGGCTGAGTGTCAGCTGCATTAAGATCACTCTGACCAAAAGGTCATGATTCGAAGCCGGCCCAGGTTGGAGTGGGTTTCCAACCAATTGTGTGTAGCCTGTTGTCGACCTTTGCAACCCGAAAGACAGTTGCATCTGTCAAGTAGGAAAATAAGGTACCACCTTAAAGTATGGGGAGGCTAATTTAACTGATTTATGAGGCCATAAAGAAGACTCCAGCAAAGCATTCCAGCGGGGAAGCATGCGGGGAATGCGGAAGTGCTTCATCAGCGTCGCGGATGGACGATGAAAGCGACAGCTCCCCGGCAGCCAGAAAAACTTAAATAGCCTCTGTGTATGTCTGTATATGTTTGTATGTCAAAAATTGGCATTGAATGTTTGCCATATATGTGTACACTGTAATCCGCCCTGAGTCCCCTGCGGGGTGAGAAGGGCAGAGTATAAAAGCTGTAAATAAATAAATAAATAAATAAATAAATAAATAAATAAATAAAATACTGTTTCTTAACTCTGCTTTAAAAAGCTGTATTTTAATGCCTAAACATGTTTTATTTATTGTTTACCATTTGATTTAATGCTGAGCATTAATCGAAAATAAAATATTTGAATGCAAAGATATAAAGCAAAGGGGAATTGATTGCAGGTTTCTTATCTCCTCAAACTTCAGTTGGGATCCATCCCAAGACTGGCTGTTGACCAAGGCCTGGCCCTAATATCAGACAGAGTGAGGCATCTGCCTAAGGAAGTACATTTTTGGTGTCTCAAAAGGACATTTAGTTGCTTAGGTGTTTTGGGGAGTTTCTGCTTCATGTGCCAAAACAATGTATCTGGCTTTAGTTATTCTGTACCTTGACTTGGATAGGGAAGTGTCACTGTTTTAGCTGTATAATTTAGCTGTAAATCGCCTAGAGCATTCTCGGATGGAGGGCGATTAATAAGTTATTAAATGATGATGATGATGATGATGATGATGATGTTTGCATCTAAATCTGACTCAACAAAATGCCTTGAGTCAGGTCTCCCATTCTTTGTAATCAAATGTACATATAAGCTTTGGTCTTACTTGTCTTTTTTCGTCTGCTATCCGACAACTTGTTTGTTGCCTGCCACTATCCTATACCCTAATTTATGTATTACTAGCCGTCCCCGGCCACACATTGCTGTGGCCCACATGGGGGTTCTGTGTGGGAGGGTTGGCTCAATTTTATCATTGGTGGGGTTCAGAATGCTCTGTGATTGTAGGTGATCTATAAATCCCAGCAACTACAACTCCCAAATGTCAAGACTCTATTTTCCCCAAACTCCACCAGTGTTCACATTTGGGCATATTGAGTATTTGTGTAGAGTTTGGTCCAGATCCATCATTGTTTGAGTCCACAGTGATCTCTGGATGTAGGTGAACTACAACTCCAAAACCAAAGGACTCTGCCCACCAAACCCTTCTAGTATTTTCTGTTGGTCATGGGAGAACTGTGTGCCAAGTTTGGGTCAATTCCATCATTGGAGGGGTTCAGTATTCTCTTTGATTGTGGATGAACTATAAATCCCAGCAACTACAACTCCCAAATGACAAAATCAGGTTTTTTGAGTGAAGGACATACATTGGGTTGTTAGGTGTCTTGTGTCCAAATTTGGTGCCAATTGCCCCAGTGCTTTTTGAGTTCTGTGAATAGCACAAACGAACATTACATTTTTATTTATATAGATTAGCTACTACTCTGGCTAAAGATAGAATTTGCAATCTGTATTGTTCTTTCTACATTGTCTTGAGCTTCCAGCCAATGATCTCTGGACTTTGCTAACAAGGGCAACCTCTTCCTACAGGTACTCGCTCTGTGATCTCTGCCTCTTGCACATTATTTACAGACAGGCCTGATGTAGTAACATTCTCAGCAAGCTTCACATTGTGATTGGTGAATTCAGCATGTTATAGGCCAGATGTTACACTCCAAAAAAAGAGCATCGGCTGCAAATGATTTTGTTGCTGTGTGTGTACATGTGCTTCGGTTAAAAACAAGACATGTCTCGTGTGCACACAAATGAGGACCACAAAGAGACCATTGGACTTACATTGTGAAATGTTTTTACACATATACACAGCCCGGTTTCTCCATTTCCTTCCATTCCTCCTCTCATTCTACTGCTGTTGCAACACCAATGAACTTGCATTCACATATGGAAATGGATTTGGCCCAGTGCAGGAAGCTCATGGTGACTACTAAGGAGGGGTAAAGCTCCCCGACTCCAGCCCTGCTTTAGCTGAGCCTCCTCTGGGTTTGAGATAGCAGGTCTGTGTAAATTTTGGACCTCAGGAACCTGGGATAAGAGTCTTTTTCCATAAGGCTGTGGATTTTCCCCTGAGCCTGGTCAAAGCATGAAGACGAAGGTTCTTGTATGTTCCGTCTTGTCACCTCCCGTGTCTGGAAGTCTATGTTCACCTTAAGAAAAATGTAAAAGAAAGTACTTTAGGAGGGGAAAGGACATCTCTTTTGCAACAATATATAGCCATTTTGTCCCTCTTGTCGAGGTCAACCTATTTCTTTTCAGCTGAAAACTGGAGCGGAAGCACATTTAAGACAATGACATACAGTGCCTTGTAGAATTCACACATCTCTCTGACTTTTCTGAACTTTGTTGTGTTGCAACCTGAAATTTAAATGGATTGAACCAGAATTATTGCCATTTTATATACATGATAGGCTGAGCTCTATGAAAATAAAAAGTGTTTTCAGGCACATCAAATCACCTCTCAACAAAGGATTCCCCCCAGGCACTGTATATTGACCTGTTGTAAACCGCACTGAGTCGCCTACGGGCTGAGAGAGTGCGGTATACAAATAAAGTAAATAAATAAACTTCCAAGCCATTAAATGCTAATCAAGGTGGTCAATTGAAACATTCACACCTGGCTCCAGCAGAGAAGAGTCCTTTGTCCCACCCTGGTCATTCCACAGATATATAAACCCATTTTCCTACTTCCAACAGACCTCACTACTTCTGAGGATGATTGCCATAGATGCAGGCGAAACGTCAGGAAAAAATGCCTCTAGACCATGGCCATATAGCCCAGAAAAACCTACAACAACCCACTGTTTTTATTATGCCACAAAAATTAATACACAAACTAACTAAGTCACTAACCCCGGCATTTGTTGTTTCAAGCATTCAATGCCTTTGCCGTAACACTGGTGCAGCCTATTCCCTCCAGAAGGCATGTTGTCGAATGGGATCCATCATAGAATCATAGAGTTGGAACAGACCTCATGGGCCATCCAGTCCAACCCCCTGCCAAGAAGCAGGAAAATTGTATTCAAAGCACCTCCGACAGATGGCCATTCAGCCTCTGTTTAAAAGCTTCCAAAGAAGGAGCCTCCACCACACTCCAGGGCAGAGAGTCCCACTGCCGAATGGCACTCACAATCAGGAATTTCTTCCTAATGTTCAGATGGAATCTCCTTTCTTGTAGTTTGAAGCCATTGTTCTGCGTCCTAGTCTCCAGGGAAGCAGTTCCTCTTTAATATTAATATGAACCACCGTTGCCACTAAAATTTACCCTGTCTGATAAGGTCGTAACTCAGCTCTCTTCCACCAATCTTTTCCGAAGACTACAACATGAAACAGTCATTAATTTGAAATACAGTTCCTAGAATTTACCAGCCAATATGGTTACTAGTTCCTCAGGGGGCCATTCTTTCCCCTCTGTTGTTTAACATCTATATGCGATCACTTGCTCAGCTGGTTCGAGGTTTTGGGCTTGAGTGTTACCAGTACGCTAATGACACTCAGCTGGTGCTGAAGATGGAAGGCCGACCGGACTTCTGATTGTTTCCATCAGTGCCTCGAGGCCGTTACTGGATGGCTGTGTGCCAGCAGGTTGAGGGTGAATCCAGCAAAGACGGAGATCCTATGGCTGGGTCAACTGGGCAGTGGGGATATCCAACTGCCTACCCTGGATGGCGAGGCACTACGCCCGTCATCATTGGTAAAGAGTCTGGTGGTCCTTTTGGACCCCTGCTGACGATGGAGGCCCAGGTTTCCGCCGTTAGCAGAACCGCTTTTTTTCATCTGCGACAGGCTAGACGGCTCGCCCCCTACCTGTCAAGGGACAACCTAGCTACGGTGATCCAGGCTACGGTCATCTCAAGACTGGACTACTGTAACGCCCTCTACATTGACCTTCCTCTGTCGGTGATCCGGAAGCTCAAGTTGGTACAAAATGCACCTGCTCGGCTTCTTGCGGGAATTCTGATGAGATGCCACATAACACCAATTTTACTACAGCTGCATTGGTTACCAGTTGAGCACTGGATCACTTTCAAAGTGATGGTACTCACCTTTAAGGCCTTGCATGGTCTGGGGCCGATGTACCTGAGGGACCGCCTCACCCCCTACCAACCCCTCCGTTCTGAGGACCAAGATTTGTTGGAAATTCCCAGTGTCAAGACCTTGTGTCTAACAGCAACCAAACGCAGAGCCTTTTCAGCAGTGGCACCATCGCTCTGGAATACTCTGCCACCTGAAGTCCGTGCCTTGCGGGACTTACCAGCTTTCCGCAGGGCATGTAAGACATACCTGTTTCGACAGGCCTTTGATCTTTGATATTGCTGTTTTTAAATTGTTTTAAATTGTTTTTAAATTGTATTCCATTTTAGCCTGTTCTTGTAAGCCGCTCCGAGCCCCAGGGGAGTGGCGGCATATAAGTTCGAAAAATAAAATTAAATAAATAAATAATTTAGATTGAGGACGCTAGTAGCTGTAGTCCAAAATAATAATACGTCCAGTCTGTCACCAAGTTACTGTTCAAAACTCATACAGTGAACATAATTATGCCTCCTATCTGCTAACCTCTCGTGGTGCTTGCACATCAATAAATTCTTCAAAAATCCGCTGGGCCTTGGAAGCCAGCTTAGCAGTAGACCTTGTCTTTTTGAACTCCTCGCAGGCCAACCAGAATTCTAGGTTTTCCTCACTGAATTCTGTCTTCAAAAAGGCACGAAATGCAGCCACTCCATCTGAGAAAAGAGAGAAAAGAATTTCATTCAGAGTAAGTGTCTCTCCCCTTCTCTGCTCTAATCTCCCTTGATTTTTGTATAATCAGTGGGATATATTTCAACAATTACAATAAAGAGAAATTTAAATATACAGCTGTTTCAACAACCATACTCCCTCGCAGAGGCGGCCCTACATAATTTTCAAAGGTAAGCAAACAGTATTTTGGCGCCCCCCTCCCCCAACCAATCATTGATATATATTTTCTGTTTGTCGTGGGAGTTCTGTGTGTCATATTTGTTTCAATTCCATCATTGGTGGAGTTCAGGATGCTCTTTGATTGTAGGTGAACTATACATCCCAGTAACTACACTTGCCGCACTTGCTCCCTTGCTTGGCCTGCTTTGGGTCCGGAGGCATGCCTGAAGACCTCGGCGTGTGCACCAAAAGTCACCTCTTCTCCTGACTTTCTCCTCAGCCATTGGGACCAAGAGAGAGAGAGAGAGAGAGAGAGAGAGGGGGAGATGCCCACCTAGGGAGGGAGGTGGAAATGCCCACCTTTCCTGAAGGTAGGTGCAAAAACAAAGGAGGGAGCGGAGGTGGAAGATACCTCCAGCCGGAGGGGCTCTCTCTCTCTCTCTCCCTCTTGGTCCCAATGGCTGAAGAGAAAGTCAGGAGAAGAGGCGACTTTTGGTGTTCACGCTGGGGTCTTCAGACACGCCTCCGGACCCGAAACGGGCCAGACGTGGCAGCTCCGCCCCTTGGCCCATCCGCGGATTGGGGAGAGGAGAGGAGCTGGGTGGAGCGCTGGGGGATCAGGAAAGGGAGCCAGTCATGGGGAAGGGATTGAACGCAGAGAACGATTGAGTGCCGACTCTGCTCGCGCACCCGGTGGCCAGGTGGAGCAGGAACGAGAGGGGCTAGGCGAGGCTCAAGGGCCCGGCCCCTTTGGGAAGAGGATCGCCAGGCAGCGAGGCAAGAAAGCCGAGGCTCCCCCCAGACTGCTAGGGCTGTTGTGAGCTGAGAGGGCGCTCCTCAAGTGGCAATCAAGGGGCATTTACAGAGGCGCCTCTGCGCCCCTGGCAAAAAAAAAGTGTTCTGCGACCGCTTACTTCGCGTAATGGATGAGCCGCCCCTGCTCCCTCGTCCTTTTGACGGCTTTATAATTTTGGTGAACATGCGTTCATATTTTAGGAGGTGCCTGTACATTATAAATGCTATTGGCTTTGGTCACTTTCTGTATGTAAGCATGATTTGCCATTTAAATCTGTTACTCAGTGCTATCTTTTTCTTTCTCAGGGAATAGTTCTCCATGTGTCATGTCCAGAAAGCAGTCCAATGTGAATCAATGTCCGCAACACTTTGGATTTTCAAAGAGTTGGTTAAGCAAATCACCCTGACTGTGTGTGCACATTTTCAAAACCCTGAACTGTGATAACAAGGCAAGAATAAAAGAGTGAGGGAAGAGTGATCTGTCTCCAACAAGGAGCTGGCAGTTGAAGACACAGCCTTGTGAGCCAAGTTCATCGGTTTACAATTTTTCCACAGCTAGCTTTTCAGGGGATGTTTTTTAAAAAACCGAACATGTAAACAGCTTTTCATCATGTTTTTCCTAACTGTATTTTTTGTATCATTCTTGTCTTATTCATTTCCTCGCTACTTACATTCCAAAAACCAATGATCGCCAGAATACGTGAGGAAAAGAACGGAGATGCTGATGAAGCAAGAGCACTTTCTCATGACTCCTACGCTGAGAAAGGCGTACCCCAGTGATGGACAGAGGTGTACCCTAGAAAGAAGTCATAGGGTAAAATCACCAGCTGGGGTGAATCATCAGCATCCCGAGCTCTGAGTATTACCTGGGAAGGAATCCCACTGGAGCATTGCAGCACACCCAAATACCTGGAAGTCACTCTGGACCATGCTCTGACTTACAAGAAGCACTGCCTGAACATCAAGCAAAAAGTGGGCGCTAGAAATAATATCATACGAAAGCTGACTGGCACAACCTGGGGATCACAACCAGACACAGTGAAGACATCTGCCCTTGCACTATGCTACTCTGCTGCTGAGTACGCATGCCCAGTGTGGAACACATCTCACCACACTTAAACAGTAGATGTGGCTCTTAATGAAACATGCCGGGGTGTCTGCGCCCTACACCACTGGAGAAATTACACTGCTTAGCCGGTATTGCACCACCTAACATCCCCCGGGAAGTAGCAGCCAATAGTGAAAGGACCAAGGCAGTGACATCTCCAGCTCATCCCTTGTTTGGGTATCATCATCATCATCATCATTTAATAATTTATTAATCGCTCTCCATCCGAGAATGCTCTAGACGATTTACAGCTAAATTATGAAAGATAAAATGCATACATACAAAAAATAAAAATTAACAGAGATCGAATGCTCTAGTAAAAAGCCAGGTCTTAAGTGCGAGAGTAAAAGGCCCTAAGTAACGCATGGCTCTCATGTAGGGCGGCAAGGAATTCCACAAGGCAGGGGCAGAAATAGAAAAGCCCTGCATCTGGTCCTTTCCAAGTGCACTTCTCTAGGATATGGAGTATATGGAGTAAGTCATGTTGGGCTGGTCGTTTCGACCTCCGATGATGGGAGAAGGTACGATGGACCCTGGCCGTAAAGAGTTTTAAAGGTATCAGCCAGCACGTCAATGACTCAAATCAAGAAATAGTTTTTTAAGAACTTCAGAGACACTCGCTGGAACACCTCAGCAAGCGAGAGCCCAAAAGTGGCAGACTCAAATCCAGAACCAATGGCTGATACCAAATGAGAGACTCCCTCCTGGGCACACAGAAAACTGGGTGACTTGGAAGGACTGCGCTCTGGCACCACGAGATGCAGAGCCAACCTTAAGAAATGGGGCTACAAAGTGGAATCCACGACATGCGAGTGTGGAGAAGAGCAAACCACTGACCATCTCCTGCAATGCAACCTGAGCCCTGCCACATGTAAAATGGAGGACCATCTTATAGTAACACCAGAGGCACTCCAAGTGGCCAGCTACTGGTCAAAGGACATTTAATCAACTACCAAGCTTGTAAACTTTGTGTTTTGTTCGTTTGTTTGTTTGTTAAAAAATGCAATACAGCTGTTTGGTTTTCTCCCGACACGATAAATAAATAATAACCAGCTGGGGTTAGAAGATCCTACAGATGCCTAACTAGCCTCCGGCACTGGATTTACACCTTGGACTTGTCAATAAACAAATTACAGAAAAAGTACTCGTACTTCAGGGTGTTTGTTTTATTATTTCTCTTCACCTTGCCTTTCTACTCCGACCTTGTGTAACCTGCATATTTTGTATCTCCAAGTAAGGCAGAACATGTTAAAAAAGTTGAAAGTAGGCTGAGAACAGCATCACCATGACCTCTGCTCACAAAGTGAAGGCAGGAGAAATGAGTGCTCTTGTTTTGTTATCACAACTAGTCAAATGTATTTTGTAGGTTTTTTGAAGCATATCTTTTTTTTATGAGCAATTAAAAATGCACTTTGATTTGATTTCTACCTTGCCCTTCACCCAAACGGAACTTAAGAACATTAACAGTTTTCAAATAAGATAAAACATACACACCTGAAACAGTAAAACAGATTGGAAACACAATTGAAACAAATTAGTAAGGGGAAGAATAGCACCCAGTTGGTTAAAGGCTTCCAAAGCTACCTGTTTATTTGCCAAATACCTGTCTAAATGGAAACGTTTTTGTCTGTCAACAGAAGGACAACAGGGGAAGAGGCTGCCTTGCTTCCTTAAGAAGGGAGTGTTCTGTTGCGCGCTGGGCCTGTAAATAATTGTCTCTAAACAGGACGTGTAACCTTTGCCCAGCGGGAAGCCAGGGGGCCCAAAGAGAGGTTTTCAGAGGTTTTCCACCACAAATAGTCTTTAAATGGCTTGTGAAGTATAACAAAGTCCTTTATTAATGAACAATCAAACAGAAACTTCTCTTGTCTTCAGAAAATTAAACAAATGATTTCAGGCTTTCAAGCAACCGGTGGCTTCCTAATCTTGTCCACGAAGGACAGGCAACTGTCTTCAAAAACTGATTCTTTGCTTTAAAGGAAAATCCCCTTTTTAACTTCTCCCAGGCTGTCTGTAATCTAATTCTTACTGATGTGGGCTCCGCTACCAGGTCGAATTGCGTCTCGAACGCCGAGTGGACCTACCAGAAAGGCTAGTAGATTCTCCAGCTGGAGTTCTTTGGTCTTTATGGCTGTTTCCTTGGAGATCTTTGGATGCTCTTAAGACTGTTCTCCCCCGGAAAGTCTTGAAGACTCTTAAGACTGTTCTCCCCCAGAAGGTCTTAAGGGTTGAAGCTTTTGTACAGGGGAAGCTTGCACATGTCCTGTATATTAGCTTTCCTTGCTGAGACTGACTAAAAAATGGCTCCCTTCCCTTCCCAATTGCCCTGAGCAAGGGGTAGAACCAAAACTTGATGATGGATAGATGACTTGCCCTAAGACCTCAACCAAAGGAAGCCACCTTTCTGCAGAGCCCTGAAACCTTGGACTGTAAGCAAATATTTAATGCAAAGCAAATAGAGTTGGAGCTCCTGGTACAGCCGTACCAGCACAGGGAGGCTCACAGCTTGGAAAAAGAAATGCCATCAGTGTCTGTGGTGCAATGTGATCTGTCAGGGGCCTATGGTTCATGAAAGATCTCATTTAGAATGGTATTGTTGTTGTGTGGCAACCCCGAAACAACCCTATCTCTGGGTTTTTTAAAGCAAGATTCATTCAGAAGAGGTTTGCCTTTTTCTTCCTTTATGGCTGAGAGAGATGACTTGTCCAGTCACCAAGTGGGCTTGACAACTGAATGGGATTTCAAATCCTGGTCTCCAGAGTCATCGTACAATGATCAAACCATTACACCACTCTTAATCATGTAACTATTGTGAAGGACCTCATCAGAAAGCCCTGGAGAAGTGTTGCGCTTCACCGGACTTTTGCTAGGAAATAGGAATAGGAAATAGGAATAGGAAAGAGGGAGCAGCAGCATGAATCT